GGCTGCGCAGCCTGCGGCGGGCCATGAAGTGTGTCATTGGGGGGTCTCATCTCAGAGGTACCCGTGGTCCCAGGAGGGGTGGCGAGCCCGGGACAGAGGGATGTACGTGGGAGAAACAGGCACCCCAGGGCGGGGCCACCTCAGGGCGGTTCGGCTCAGCAGGGCCGGCAGCCGCGGGGATGCGTGACTGGCCTGCTGGCACCCTGGGGTCCCTTGGCACTGCCGTCAGTGGGCTTCCCCATGGGGGCTTTCAGACGGTGCAGAGGTGGGGACGAAACGCTGGGAGCTGCAGCTAGCCCCGGCACAGCCAGAGCAGAGCTAAGGAGCTGCCTCTGCCTCATCCCCAGGAGGACAAAGGCATTTTTGTGGGGCAACGTGCCAACTGAAAGTTGTTCAGATGAGAGAGCAGAGGGCTGGATCTGTGGTACTTTGAGGTGGAGAAGCCATTGCCTAGCTGGGCACCTCCCTGTGCACACCGTTCTACTTCCAGAGGCCCAGCTGAACCTCCTGTGCACAGCGTTTCGTGCAGAGGGCTGCTCTGCCGGTACCGGGATGGGCAGAGGCAAATTTTGAGACCCACTGCTGGTTTCTTCTGTGTTTCTTAGGGCTATGTCTTTACAGATGTCCAACTGCTTACCGCTTGCTCAAACTTGTTGCCATCTACAAAATCTAATTTCTAACCTCAGTGGTGTTTTGTCTGATTAAATTGGATTCATTTGTGGTGACGTCAAGTCATGCCACTTGCTGCAAAGGGACAGATGACTTTTGAGATGCACCTCATCCGAGGCAGCTTTCAAAAACATCAAGGTGTTTGTGCTACTAAAAAGGAAAGAGCAATGTTTTCTACCATGTCATCAGTTTTCTTTGAACCGTGTAGAAATTTGTAATGTTTCCTCTTAAATTATTTGGGAGAAAATGCAGTATAACTTTTTTTTTTAACTTCGAATGCATATTGTACTGTTTTCTTTTTCTGCTAGTGTTTGGAAGAGCAATACATGCCATAGCACGCATTAGTGATGAATTTTGGTTTGACCCCGTAGAAAAAGGTGTAAGTTAATTTATTGTAATTTAAAAATCTTTCTTGGAAGCATAGTATTTATGTTGTTGGATATTGTGCTGTTTCCACCCTTCAGTCTGAGTTACATTCTCTCTCAGCTTCCTCCACTTTCAGTATGGACAAATGCCATATTTTCTGTAATTGTAATTATGCAGATTACATCATGGAAGATTCGTTCCTACTCTGCCACTAGTATTCTTCAATTTGTTGTTACCCAAGCTGAATTGTGTTCAGGACATCCGGATTAATATCAAGGGTTTTATTTCTGTTGTCACGGGTCAAAAGGTTTATGTTTTGTACCACATCAGAAGCTGCCTCTAAACAACATGTTTTTGTACTGGTATGACTCAACGGGAAGAATGCATCCATTAATATGCCTCTGATTAATCAAATACCTTTTCGAGCAGAATTAGGGTTTTCTCTAGAGGTTTCTTAGTTAAAAGTGATCAACTCTCCTTAACTTGCTGGGAGGCTGGAAAATCAAAAGTGGAGATAATTTTTATATCTGAAGAATTTTTGAGGTGCTAGTAGTGTCTTTGCTCCTTTGTACCTATCATGTCGATGGGTGCACAGGAAGATTGTTTTAGAATAAACTCGTCCTTCAGATGCCTCAGATGCAAGCTGAGCTTTAAGTGTTTAGGTAACTCGCACTTCAGGGGCACTGAAATGTCCGTAGATTGGATTCCTATGCCTGTATTATACCAGTGACTTCTGACCAGTAATAATGAAGGTAGTAACGTTGAACATGACTGTGTGCGTAATGCATCTATATTTATTTTAAGACATACACATTTAAAGGTTTTGTGGGTTAGTTATGGTACTGAAGCACAGAGATGGGTTTTTTGTTAAAGGTTTGATATGAAGTAGTTTTAAGTTAATAAATTTCCTTACATTTTCAGCTTGCCTTAAGATCAGTGAATTCTTCAAGGTCAGCATACGCATATGTCTTCTTCTCATCTATGTTTTTTCAACATTACTGCTGGACAGCTGTGTCTCAACCATGTCAGAAGGAAAAACGGTTATCCCTTCCATGTAAATTGATAATTAAGGTACATTTTAATGGATTGTTATACACAGCTTTGTAAGCAGCAAATTAACCCAATTTCCAAATGAAATTATAGGAGGAGTCTCACAGAGGCGTATGTGGATGGCTCTAAACTCAAGCGCTTCTGAGCAATTCTGCAAAAGAGAGTGTTAGTATTTAATTATGTTTAGAAGTTGTACCTCCTGAGCTGTGCCCTGCGGTTCGCGAGGTCTGAATCAGCTTAATCTTGGGGTGAAGGAATACCACATTCCTGCCTTTGGAGTCTTTCTACTGTAGCCTTCAAAGCCAGTATGAGGCAGGAGAGCTCTGACCAGTTGTTTAGCAAACAGATCTGTTGGCCATGTATTGGAGTAGTGGGTGAGGATGGCAAGGATCAGTATTGGCTGCTTCGGTGTCTGCTTACAAAGCCATTGGGGGAAGCCATAAAAGCAGAAGCTTGAGATAAACTACAAAACTATGGAAATAATATTGCAAAATTGCCTGGCGAGTAACTTCTGTGTTGATTTTTTTTTTCTTTTTTTTTTTTCCTTACAGTCAGTTCTTCCTGTATTTAGATGTGTCAATGTGCTAGAAAGGAATGTAGAGAAATGCAGCATTTATACAAATATTAATGATCATCACGTAACTTTTCAGCTCCTCTGCAGACATGGTAGGTTACCTATAGAGCGACTATACAGAAACAGAAGCAGTTTAAAACAGCAGGGCAAGACAATATTTAGTGTAATTATTAACTGAATGTTATGGAGGAAACATTATGCCAAACACTTTCAGCCTCTTCACATCATAATTTATGTTTATCATGTGCATCACCTTGTTAAAATGAAGTTATAACAGGCTTTATCAGACAAACATTCTTCAGTTCAGTAGTTAACGCATGCTGTATCGTAATTGTCAGCCTACTGCTTACAACATTTAGAATTAGGCTAGAGTAAATTCTGAAAAAACACACGTTATGGAAAGGGAGGGAAATCCTGTTTTGGCAGATGTTTGAACTAGAGGATTTACTGGGTCTTTCCACTTCTAATACTTACAGTTCTTCAATACGGTAACAGGTCTGACATCCTCAGTCCAGCAGAACACCAGGTATATTCATCGGCGTTAGTCTTTGCAAAACTCATAAAGAACTATCGTCCATCAACATAGGTTGCTGAGCTGTGCTGTGTAATAGGTGGTGTCTTATATTATTAAAAATCTAGCTTGTATTACTAATAATGAGACAATATATTGAATTCGGTCTCAATTAAGCTGTCTTAGCTCATGCTTATCTAGAAATACATAGGCATCTGTAGGGTTTGCCTTTTGTATTCCACCACCATTAATATTATTATACCATTTAAATATTGAAGCCTTTTTTCCCCCGCGTTTGTTGCACGTGTTGCTGTTCGCTTATTTCTTGTGGATTCTCAAAAAATTCAGATGCTGGAGGGGCGCAGCTAAGGGGATGGAGGAAGTCTTAGGTGGCCAGTTAATTCCGTTTTCTATTTATGGGCAAGTTCTTTCCACATAGCTAGAGTAAGCTGATGGGTTACTTTCTCTATTGAGATTTCCTAAAAGAACAATTAATACTGAAAAAAACATTTAAAATTACAGACCAGCACTGATTTTTGTTCGTATCCTTTATACTTAGGTGTTGTAAAAACATATAATCTGATGTTTCAAGAATGTGATCCGTTGCAGGCTGTTTTTGCAAAGCACATGTGTCCGAACATACTTAAAGTCCATTCCAGGTAACGAATACAAAAATATTTTCTCGGGGGGAAAAAAAAAAAGAAATACAAGAGGCAATACTGCTCTCAGAGTCATTAACATAATCAAAATCCAATTAGATCATAGCCAAAACGGAGAATTCCTAAATCGTGTATCCTAGTGCTTGATTTTTCACATTACAACTTAAGAAATTTGGATCATTCTGCCGTTAATCCTACTCGAGTCTAACCTTGAGAAGTGTGTAATGTATAATTTGAATTCACGCCTTTGAACAGCTTCCACCTATGACAAATAAAGCAGTGCTTTAATTTTATAGGTAAAGAATCTGGTGGTAAAAGTACAATTTTTTTAATGCAATAAGGCAAAGTTCTGCTTTGAAAAGCAGCCCTTTGGAAGAATCCAGAATTTGGCTTGTCACTGCAAGCAGAGGCAAAGAACGGTTAGACTCTCCTTCTCCTGACAGCATTTCTCTTAAAAGTGTTTCTTGTGCACAGGGGCTCTTGTCACAATAATCAACCATTAAAGGTGTATAAAGATATCTCTGTGTAGCTACTACGTATTGTTTTTATAAAAAGATTACGCAACTTTTAAAACTGCACGTTTTCGAATAGAGTATAGGATGCCAAGGTTTGCTCCAAATTGTGATATATACATATAGAAAGGTAGCAGCAATATATAGATATATGTAAGACTAATTTGGCAGCATACACAGGCATTAAATATAAACAGATTTGCTTTTGTAATTACCAGTTGTATTTTTAGATTTCTTAAGTACCTATTCCTATATAAATCAATTAAATACATACAGTACACTTTAAGGGGAGCATGTTTCAAAGGCAGTTTTTCAAACAGTATTGCCAAGTAACAGTTTTAATTTCTAATGTGAGTAACAAATGCTAGCTAGTAATTTGTGGCAGGTAAAGTTATTTTAATGTTGAATGAAATTTTTACAGGCTGCTGGCTGATATAATGATTCACTTTCCGACCAGTCAAGAAGAAGTAACCTTATCGGTTACTCCAATGAAAGTTTGTTTTAAGAGTTACACTGAGGAGGACACTGGTAAGGAAATGCAAAATATGAAACAATACTGCGATTTTAGAACAACTGAACTAAAGGAATAATAACTATTGCAACATGGAGAATGCATTTTTATGGCTGAATGAGATTTTTAAGAGAGGGAACATAAGAGAGAGATTTTAAGTCATACTGCTACCCTCTGGTTTTACTGTATTTTAAGAAAATATGGTTTTAGTAACATTTTCCTGGTATAGTGGCAGATACCAGACTGAGCAGCCAATTGAAATAAATTGCGCTGCTTGCTGTAGGCTTGAACAGAGGTAATTACTGTGCTGCAAGAGCAGAAGTATGGCAACAGACAGGAAAAAGGGGATCATTTTATGTTTTAAAAAAGCACTACTTAAATCTGAATACCATAATTATAGAATTGATACCATTACAGAGTGTATTTTAGTATCAGGGCAATACAGTCTGTTAGCTGCCCTAACAGTGTTAACGCTGCGCACTGCCATTTTCAGATCTCCATCTGAGATGAAGAACGATCTAGATTCATGGTGTGTGACTCAAACTAATTTTAAAGATATAATTGTGGCTTTGAAGTATAGGTTCTTGTATATCATATAATAAAGGGATGCTTTTCGTACTTGCTTATGACCAAAGCTGAGGATAATGACCTAGAAAAAGATGACTGCCTAGAGCGTAGGGTGGGGATTGTGCTGAGAACAGGCTAAAGCAGCAGAGAGCAACAAGGATTAAGTGGTGGAAACTGACTGGAGTCAAACAGGGAAGAAATTACTGAAAATAAAAAGACACTAAAAAGATTACATTTTGAATGACAAACTTTGTTATTTTAGAAACATATACCTACAAGGGTTATGGTAAAAAAGAAAGTGAAAAAAATAGTAGGTTAAAATTTAATGAGACACCGAAAACCCAGAGTCAAGGAGAAAAAGGAGGAATGACAAGCCTTGTTCTTGTTGTGTAGCATGTGATGCAATATACCGCCTGCAGCAAACGCTCTGTGTGTGCTGGAACAAAACGTGTCCTTTGAACATATCTGGTGATGGCTTAGGTTTTTCCACATTCAGGTTTAATTTTCAAAGAAAGAAAATACACCTTCTGCCTAGACTTGTTTTCATTTGCCTGCAGTAGACTCTGCCTTGCAGAAGCTGGCAGATGTGTTACAAGTATACATTTCTACAGTTTTAAGGAACTTTACACAAGTCTATTTGAACACGCAATGGGGCCTTGTTGAAGGCTGAGAGAAAAAGAACCTCCTGAGCAGAGCAACAGAAGACTGGGAGTAGTTTGTCATACTTTGTTAGCACCCTGGCTCAGGAGGAGAGCTGGGTAGGTGTGTGTGCTGTTAAAGCTCCTGTAGAATTTTTCTGAACGCCTCTGAGGCTGTAACGCCTCATGGAAGTACTCTCTTATTTTCTTTTCACGCCCCTCATAACAACTAGGGACTAATCGAATGGTAACAGGCAACAATTGAGTACCTGAAACTGAAGAGCCTATTTCCTGTTGCCACTTACGTATCAGGAAGAGATTATAATTTAAAACAAAGAACCTAAGTCCACCTTCATTGTCCTCTGATGATTGTCGCAATTACGATTAATCTGTTGAAGCCATGCGGCATTTTGGTCTTCCCATTCATGCAACAATAAGCAGCCGGTAATACTATTTGTGATGAACGCCTGTGGACAAAGCAGAGTTGCAAGAACAACAGCAGGTATCAGGTTTGATCACACAGTGGAACATAAAATAGGTTCTGTTAAAAGCCATTTAAATCTACTTAACATACTGTAAATAAATTGAGGATTTTATTTTACTTAATTATGAAATGCATTTCGATAAGCTAAACATTTATTACTGTTAGTCACTATAAAAATACAATTATTTGTTCCAATGATACCAATGTAAAAACTTCATGGTTATAATTGTAGTTTTGTTGAGTTCAAGCTTCACTCCTTTGAGTCCTTGACTTTCTTGTTATTTTAAACAGATTTTTCAAAGACAATGCTTACTGAAATACAACTAAATCCAGATGAATTTGACTACTTTCAAGTTGGAGTAGATTCTGAAGTGACATTTTGCCTTAAAGAATTGAGGGTAAAGTAAGAATTTTTCTTGAAAACAAAGCATTTCCCGGACTTGACTAATTTGCCAGACTTGACCAGGACAATGCGGAACAGTCCCTGGAGAGCGCCCTGGTGAAGGTTTCCACCAGGCCTCCTGACCAGCAGCAGCATTTCACCAGCTGGTTGAGGATTAGCTTTAAAAACCAGGATCTTTGGGACACTGCGGAGTCCCTCAGTAACCTTTGGAAAGCAAGCAGAACATTTTAAAAACAACAAAAATGTAGTTTCAGTGCTGGGCAGGCACACTGTAACTGCACTGGAGAAGGCATTGTGGCCTCAGAAGTTCTCCATGCAGAGGCTTCTTTGGCAAAGCTCCGGGCAGGGAAGGCAAGAAATGTATTCTAGAAGCAGCAGACTTTTGCCCTGTTCTTGCCAGTAAACAATAGCTAGGGTAAACTTGCAATCTAATATTAATCTGCTGTTTTTAAAACAGCACTTAACCACCCACCCCTTCTTTTCAGGGACTACTGGCATTTTCAGAAGCTACCAGTGTTCCCATCTCCATCCATTTTGACATATCTGGAAAGTACGTTTTGGAACATACCTGACTAGAACTACTGCAGTTACAACTCCACTCGCTTTTTGTCTGCAGGTTACGCAAGGAATATTTAACTGGAACAATAAAACAGATTCTCATTTCATACCAAAAGCTGTATTTCTAAGCTGCGATCCAGGGTTAAATAGTTTGTTGTTATGCATAAAGCATTTAACACAGGCATCAGCATTACTAAGCTAGCCATGCTGACTAAGGAGCACCTATATATAAGTTACCTGGACACTTCAAGCTCTCAGTGTAATGCATGCAATGATTTTATTCAGTAGTCTAAAGAAACAATACATTTTCTGTTTAAAATAGAATTTTAACAGTTACATATTTAAAACTATAATTTGACTAAGTATAATATCGTATAGCATTTGCTTGTTGGTGCATTTAAATCTGTAACAGGAAGCCATCTCATATTGCTCAGCAGCAAATACATGAGACTTCCAGCATTTCAGAGTAGGCACATTTTCATCTTTATGTATAGAATTGCATGAGCTGTGTTGCCTCCCACAACGCCTGTAATTATGCATGCCGTTCAGTCTCTGAATATTTGTGTTTAGACCTGTTGCTTTCAGCATTGAAGACACTGTGCTGGAATCCAGCTTTATTTTGGCTACCTTGTCTGACCTTGCAAAGGAGACAACTTCCCAGCAGCCTCCCTGCTTTTCACAGCGGCCAGAAAGGTAACGGTGGGCGAGGGAGGCAGATTGCCTGAAGAGGATGAAAAATTGAAGTTTAATGTTTCCAGCCTAGTCAGATTTAAGGTGGAAAGGAAGCAGATCTGCTCATTCTTGCAGGGGATTGGTGAGCATTGTACAGATCCTGGAGCCTTTGTTCGTAGGAAAACTGAACCAGACAGGTTCAGGAACATCCTGGCATCTGCACAGCAATGAAACGCTGCAACGGAGCGCGCTCTGTCCTAGCTTCTGCTTTCCTTTACCTCCAGGGGGTTCTGCTGCAGCAGGAGGGGAGGGAAAATACTTGCTGGGAATCTATTCTAAAACCATAATGCTTTTTATTAACAGAAAATAAAGACATTCTAATAAAAACCACGTAAAAGCCAGTTACTAACCTGACCTGCTGTCTCCAATCCAGCTCAAAGACATGCACGGGTAAATCTGAGAGAACCTCCATGGATAAAGATGGCAGCGCAGCAGCAGCTGCTTCCAGAAAGCCACAGTGGAATGGAAATACACCGAATGCAGAGTCAGCAAAACCTGCCAGTCCTTTGGCAAAAGAGGAGATAAAAAGGGTTCCTGGAGTCCCAAAAAGAGAGGTGACTGGCACAGAGGGAACAGCCGTGACCGAGGACCACACAGCGCTGGAAGCAGAGGCAGCAGAGTCTCGTTATCAGGTGAGGAGACTCCTGGTCGTATTTACAGCGGAATACCTCAGCCGGTGTGTAGCTAAACACTATGCGTCACCTGGGGGTTCCTACAGGTTGATACTCAGCGCTGCATGGGGCCTTTCGCTGGAACCAGCTTTCACAGCAGCACAGCTGACAAAACACGCCACTACCACATTGAACTGTAACACTGGAAACACAGGTGGTAGTGTATTTTACTAGGAAACACTGTAGACTGATAAAGATTTTAAAGTGGCAAAAAGCTTCAGAAATAATTAAGCCCCAAACTCCTGTTTCACGTGCAGTTTCTTACTTCTATAAATATTGCATTTTCCAGTTTCATTCCTTATTTTTTGGAGCGGTTTCTCGTAAGGAGGATGCCATCGGTCACCCCTTCCATAGTTTAGCAACAGCCAGTGACACCGAAGAGGATTTTGGCGACATGCAGAGCTCCCAAGTTCTGTAGGGCCATGAAGCGTTTGAATCTAAGACAAGGCCACTGGGGATGACCCCGAAAGGTAACACAGTGCCTTTGATGTAAATCGTGGAGCCGTTTCTAGTTTTGGAAGTTTAGTTGCAGTTCTGCAGCAAGTTAGAACTCAGTGGAAACTCTCTGTGGTAAACTGCATGTCACAAATACCTGTTCAGACAGTCTGGAAAGTGGAAATTCTGCTCAAAATTCTTTTTTTGCAAAACAGATATAGGAAAAGGACAAAACTTGACCTAGTGCCCAGTACTTAACCTGTGTTTTTTCGCTCTTTACGTTAACGACCAGCATGGGTCACTCAAACTGTTAGCTGCTGTCATAAAGCAATACGAACTTTGGTCACGATGACTAGACCGAGATTTCTGTCTTAGGTATCCTGTAGGTACACTGCTCCAGTACATTCTCCCTAGAGAATTCAGATTGCGTTACCACTTCAGGTAAATTAAGCTGCTGTTTTAAAGTTACGAAGCTGGAAAAATAAACCCTTCCACTTGGGCATAGCCAAACACATTCTTGCTATAGAATAGCTGGTATTTTTACAGAAACAGTGTAGAACTGGCATTTAATTGAATAACCAAACTTGTCATAGAAATGCATTCAAAAAAATAAACGTGATGTTTGAAAGCATGACTTTAAGAGGAGGCTTTTGTGTTTCAGACTTGCCCGATTCTTTTCCCTCCCCTGCCTCTTCCTCAGACAGTGCAGTATTTCCAAAGTCACATTGCAGTAAGACACCAAAATTCCCAGTCTTTGGTCAATTAAAAGATCGTTACAGCCAAGTTTTACAGTGTCATTCAGAGATGGATTTGAGAAAACTGACGACTGTCTAAAGGAGAGCCCAGCAGCCCAAGTACAGGTGGCTGCACACCTCTCCGCCACGGATGACATCACTGCATTAACAGAGTTTTTGCAGTCAACTTTACTTTAAAAAACACATTTTAGTATAAATACTATATTTATTAAATATCTTTACAATTCATTTTAAATGTATTTACAGAACTATTCCTGCATAAGTTATACCTCGGACATGAAATTCACGTAATTGCCTCTTAAGTAAGCATAGATGATAGTCTCATTTTAACAACAACAAAAAAAGCATCCTCATTAGATACAGACTCAGAGTCGCTTCATTATTTCAGCTATCTTTGCAAGAAATGACCTCATACAGTCACCTTCTCCCCACACAATCTGGTTTTTTCCCCCCTGGGGAAAGGATGTCGGTTACCTGGAGATGGAGATTCCATCACAAAATCCTTCCCCACCTTTGGCAGACCGTCCCCTCCCCTTCTCCTTGACGCAGCCATAACTGTCTGGTCCCAAAATCTGGGGTTTTTTGTTTGGGTTTGATTTGTTGTGGTGGTTTTGGTTTTTTTTTTTTTCAGCCATACTTTCTTCATAAAGACAAAGAAAGTACATTTAGCAGGGAACTGTATGATGCAGGTCTCCCAAAGACAGCCATAAAAGTAGCAAGGAACCACAGACTTTTTCCAATTCACCACATCTTAGCCCTGTTTTACCCAAATACCTAGCAAGGCTGCTGCAAAAATCCCAGCTCCTGCCAGTCCTGTGACGTCACGTGGGTACTGGGGGACAAAACTCTTCCTTTTCCTTCAGATCACCGCTCCCCAACCGCCAGCTCCTGGTAACAAACAGAAACCCTCGGCAGCAGCTGAAAGTCAGCCCACGCTCCGCTCGTGCACGCTTCCATTTCACAGAACACCCTTCTTGTACCTTCCTCTTGTGAACAGTCACAAAAATCTAATTCCTAGGAAGTGTTACTGCTTCATGCATCATTTAAAATTGTTTTGATAGTATGGGCCCTGTCATTTCCTTTTCCAAAAACTTGTTGTGCGCAGACAGCTTAAGTTCATAGGAAGAAATTAGGTTTGATATGTTTAGAGTGCACATCTTAAAAAAAAAAAAAAAAAAAACAACAAAAAAACAATCAAGCATGTGATAGCAATATCAATTCTTTATAATACAGTATTGCTTTATAAACAGATGGAAAAGCTATAAGCTTTACTGGTCTTTGGTGTGTCCAGTGAGGGATAAACTCATGTTTTGTAAATCAAAATCCAAATTTGTTCTTTATTTAAAACAACAAAAAAAAATGACAATGTGATATGAGGCAGATGGCTTTGTAGATCCCGCTCAGCCAAGAACGGCTTTCACACAGAGCACGAGGCATGGCCTCGCACCCGCCGGGCAGCACCGCTCAGCTTCGGAGAAGCTGGCCGAGTCTCTCCGCTCGGGGATTCCAGACCCCGGCCCGGCAGCGGCAGAGTACAGCGCACGCAACGCCTCACCCGGGGGTAAGCACCTTCGCCATACTCATCTATCTGATCCGCATACGTCTCCCAACGTATAGCTCTAGAAAGGGAGGGGGTAAATAATGAGGGCTGGGGACGAGTGTGCCGAGAGCGAGGGGTCAGAGTGCAACGCAGTCCAGGTCGGCAGGGGCGTCATTTTAAGGTAAGTTCAAGGGAAATAAGAATTGATCAAATCTGCTCTAATCAAGAAGCGCGACAGTAAATACTGGAGGATACAATGTAAAGACACCCAGATTTGAGAGAGGAACGCCGCTCCCAAATGCTAGAAACAAAGCCCTGTGCTGCAGCGTGAATACATTCCTTCTAACGGACAGCTAGATACAGCTTGTTCAGTTTTAAAAAACAACAAGGACTGACAATTTGTGCAAAGTTATCCACCGCTCGCTGTTCCATGGATGGCAAAACTAATTAATTTGTCTTCATTAATAGAATCCTCCCCATACCCTCACCAAAATAGTGTTTTGGTCAAGTTGGGGTAGTTAAGGCATTTTGACAAGTAATTACAAGGTGATTTAAAATAGATAGCTAACATTATGCCAATTTAGGAATAGCGGATAAATTACTGAAGAGCTTCCAAATTAATCACTTATTATAAATGAAATGCCTGTTACAAGCATGATGCATTGAAATATAGTAAAATGACATGTACATGGTACATGTTAAATGACCTTAAATAAAAGCTTGACAGTTACGCAAATATACAGTACAAGTCCACAAAAATTCTTTAAACAAGTTGAGGTAACCTCAAACTTAAACAGTTTTAATACAATAAACCAGGTAGTAAAAATCTCCTTTTGAGAGCAGGTAAGATTACTTACTGACCAAGTTTAACTGCACTCACCTAAACAGCAACATTACCCGACTTTTTATATATAAAAACATGGCTTTAATTTATTTCTACATACTTTTCTACCAGCAAAAAAGTTAATGAAAAACTGACCAAAAATATATATATCTTTACAGCTATCAGCTTTTTGTATGAACCTCAGGAAAGAAAAAGCAAAGCTTGCTGGAAGAGGGGGAACAAATGTGAGCTACTGTAATTCAAAAGGAAATGTGATATTGCAAAGTGGCTGTTAGGTAACTGTAAACATCATTAAGGTTCATTCGAAACCCCTAAACTTTAGTTACTGAAATGTATGTTTTGCTGATTATTCGTTAATAGTTTCCATTTCCGTACTTGCTGCTGCTGCCACAGCGTAAGCGAAGAGGTGCTTGCTTGAGAGTCAGAGAAGGATCAACTGGACTTAAACTGGTGCAGCATATTCTGTTCTACACAAGCGAGAATGGCAATTATTAACACAAATTATGTTTCGTTAACAACAAAATTATCTACCAAAAGTGAGGACGGTCAGAGTTGAGGACAATCTGTTCTTTGTGCAACCTCCCACTGTAGCATTTACGCCACATCATCCCATGCTGGTGAGATGGGTTAAAATGCTGAAAGGACCTCAACTTTGGCCAGACTGAGTTAAAATTTTTGTTTGGAAAAAAAAAAAAAAAAAAAAAAAAAAATTAGCCACAGCCAAAACACCCAGATACCAGGAGGCCCGTTATGGACAAATGATCTGCAGAACTTTTAAGATCACAGTTAAGCACCTGAAATCACAAAACACATTTGCATCCATATACCTTGAACGAAGTATGTTTTTTGAAATTTCGTACTAGAAAAGGCTCCTAGGCTGACACCATGTATGGCAAGAGCAGAACGTTTACAGCAGTTATAAATCTCCTGAAAACTGGAGCTTAGAAACACGAAACCTCAGCTATCACTGTAACAAGACTACGCTTATGAAACTGTGTTCTGTAACATACCCTTAATGAATAGTGAACGTTTCTAGTAAATAGAGTAATATGCCCTCTTGGAGAGGTTTTATCTATTGAACCTAGCTTGAAAGGTGACAAACCAATTCTACTCCTTTGAAAGCGAGTCGCATTTCAAATGCAGTAACGATGCGGGATTGATCCTCCCCCTTTGAAGGACAACGACTAAGCTCTGAAAGACATGCTTCAAGCCTTGAGCTTCTTCATTTCTTGCTGGCAGACAAAGACCAGTGTACTACGAGAGTGGTTCTTAACAAGGACTTCAGTTGTGTCTCAAGACAGGCAACGAGCTCGAGAACCGGCTGCTGAGATCAGCTGCGAAGGAAGAAAGCAATCCTGCCAGCAGGAAACCGTACGTGTGAAGCTGGGAGCTCGGGGATCACGGAAACATCAGAAGCTGACACTCCGGGCAGATCAGTCTGTATACTCGGCTACAATAGAAAGAAGGACGGTGATGTCGTCTGGTTTTCCCCCTGTAATATAAGAAAAATAAAACTATTTCATCAAACCACAGTGAGTCATTTTCTTATCACCTGTGACATTCCCCTGTGGCAAGCTCTTTAAAAGAAATAGTTTAAACAATCAAAAAGTGTTTTGTGTAGACACGAGAACTCTGCTTCCTCCACCTCCTTTCCAAAAATGCAACCAAGGATAGCAATGACATTTAACACAGCAAAAGAGTGCTCTACTTCTAAGCTATAGTGAGACCAAACACTATTAAAAGGAGTACAGAACCTTGGACATTGTTGTTAGCCAGTAGAGCAGAAAGCCTGTGTTCTAGCAGAGTATGTGTTCTTTTAATAAACGTACCAAAAAACCTGACAT